ATTTCATTTAATAAATGTTTTGTTTTGGTATATAAGTTGTTGGGGTTTTTTTCATCTAAAAAAGCAGCACGTATTTATGAATGTATTTGTGACCATATTGATTATGATACAAAAATGTAATTTTTTTTTATGTACAAATCACTAGTTTTGCCTCACTTGTCTCTGGCTACTGTTATAGACATTTTATTTGGAAGATGATTTATGGGAGATGATTTAGAGGATAGCTACTAAGGTGACTTGAGGAATGGAAGGGCTGTTTTACAGGGATAGGTTAAGATATCTAACTTATTTGCTACTGAGAAAAAAGGGTAGGAAGTAATGTTATTACCTAAAGTTGACAAGATTATCTATGTGATTGATGGGGTAAAAGCCTGATTCCTTTATTCTGACTTCTGACAACAACAGGATGAAAGGACAACATATGGAAAAGACATGTAGGTTAGACATTGAGTAGAGGTCAGTATCTTATAAGTACAGTTTCCAAAAAATTTTTTTAAAATTTAAAATTTCTCTTTTTCATGTGGTTGTTTTTCCAAGAATGTCCTTGAAGGACTTAATGGTACCTTGTTATTCATTCTCAAGGATAAAGTTCCTATTTAAAGGTCCATTAATTTATTTGCATCCATTTTTGCTGTTATTATAAACATTTAAAATCCTTTAAAAAATAAACTTACAATCCAAGGTAAGAACTTTTCAGTGCCCCATTTAGCATCATTTATGGCTTTCTTATTTGTTTTTGTTTATTACCTTGTATCCTACAAAGTCGTCCATTTTATCATTGATTTCCGTGTTCATAAAAACGTTTATTTAAAATTTATAATTTTCTTTGGCATCTTGGTTTGAATCTAAAAATTTGTAATGAATATAATATCTTTCAGCAAGTTTTTAGATCTTGTAAGAAAGTCTTAGTTAAGCACCATGCACAATATTCTCCATCATTTTCTTTAATCAGACTAGAATGCAAAAGCCTCTCGGGTGTCCTGTATTTAACCCAAAAGCCTTTGTATTTCTTTTGTGATAAGTAACCCAACATATTTTACGTGAACCACATTTTATCAAGTGAAAATGGTTCTTTCAAAAAATAATTTCTAACCAATGTTCCTCAGAACTAAGAATAATGTCTAATATAGCACCACTTATTATCTATCTATTAATGTACTACTTAACTTGGACTGAGACAATGTTTACTGTCTTGTATAAATGGTACATTGTTTCCTGACATGAACCTTGACTTGTCATACACGAAAGTAGAGACCCAATTGAATTACCTTTCCCTTACCTCTTGAACAAATTGGCTGATAGAAGTAATTTATCAATTGTATTAAAAGTTAGGGAGGTGGTACCCTAAGACCAAATTTCTATGTTTCATCCCAACAGACATTTAGCCAAGTTTGCTACAGTGGCTGGTTAATTTTATTATTATTTGCAGGTATACAGACATCATCAATTAAATTTACACATTTATTTGCACTTTGAGTTGTCTAAATCCAGGTGTTCTTTATTTAATGTATTTGTTTTTACATTAGACTTGAAGAAATTTGAATTCTAGAGGGTACTGTTTACTCAACATTGATAATATTGTGAAAAAATTGATACTTTCATGTTGATCAAGTTTACTATTTTGTTTAGATATCTTGCTGATAGATACAATGAATACCCTAGTTAAATCTTCACTCATCACAAATTAGAGTTCATTGATATTTTGCTTGATTACATTGGGACTAGTAAATTTCTGGCTATCATTTTATTGCCTCAGCTTCTTATGCCAAAAGGGAGGCTATCTGAGAGACCTCAAAACTTTTTGATTGCAGGATGTCTCATGCCCTTGAGAAAGTTTATTGCTTTATTGTCTAATTTCTGCACATCCCTGAAGAGAAAGATGCTAACTTTTGTATGGTCATAGGCACTGTTTCAGTATGAGGATGGTAGAAATCTCAGTATTTTTGTACTTAAAATCAAACTCAAATACATGCTACTATTGTGCATTTTTGTGTCATGTGGAGGTAGATTGTTGGTAGACGAATCTGTCGAGTTTGAGATACATATATCTCAAGATATCAGAGAAGCATGATATCAGTTTTCTGTATATCAATTCATGGGTTAGTATACCTATTTGAATTCCAATTTAGTTTTTAAAAATTGTCATATATACATGTACTACTAGTGTGTTTATATTAAAAGGCTATAGCTGACCATAATGCAAGCTGTTATTGATTTGGAATCAGTTTTAATCATCACTACTGGAAGATATAATGCAACATAAAATTGATAAACAGTCATAGATTCCTTAGAATCAAATTTATAAAACATGGAAGATGCACTTTCTATTTTCCCCCTGTTAGTTATGCTTAATTGAACTGAAATGTAAGTTGGTAGCAAAGCTTTTTATGTTTCCAAATTTTCTGTTTCTTACAGCAGTTACTTTCTCCAAAAGATGAAAAACCCAGCAAAGTAGAATATGATATTGCAAAGTATTTGCGGCAAAAGCTTCCTGTTAAAAAAACCTCTCTCTTGAGTCACAAAGTTGAGTATTTTATTGGTGAGTATTTTATACTTAAAATTGGGTAAGAATTATGTTTTAAATGAGGTTATATAATGCTTTTTAGCTGTATTTTGTTGATAAATATATACGTATGTATTTGTGTGTGTGTGTATGTGTGTCAGATGTTAAGCTATGTTTGCCAATTGTCAGTTAAAGGCTTTTACTTGTACTTGTTAATAGTATAAATATATACTTTGTTGTTGGGCTAAGGATTCTTCTACAGTATGTGTCTGTGACTTTTGATGATAAATTCAAAAATAAATTAACAGCACTCACTCCACTTGTATTCAAAATAATATATACATATATATTCAGAACTAGTTAAACGTATGTACAACAAGTTCTTTACACGATAGATATCACAGACATATCATACACACTGTATATATACTTCTCTTCTTGTTGTCAAAAGTCCACTTAGGCTTATTCAATTGCTTTAGAATTTCAGTTGACAAGCCGAACTATCTTCTCTATTACTATCGCACTAGTATCCTGTGTGTGATTCACTTACAATTGTGGCTTGAGTTACCATAATCATTTGGTCTTTTTTCTTCAATATATTCTCTGTTCCTTTGGTCAAAGTGTACCCAGGCTGATTCAATTACTTTAGAACCATCCTTTGAGAGAATAAGTTATTCTTCTTATTTCCTTTTCTACTGTTAGCCTTACTTTAACATATTAAATGTTAGGCCTATCACTTCTACAATAGTTAACTTCATACCAAAGTTTTCCTTGCCCATAACTTTACTCGCACTTGTCTATCTGTTGTCTCTGCTTGTCTCACACTATTTATATATCTATCACTTAATCATCTGCCAGCCTTCTAAAAATCTCTATTCTTGAGATCAATGCAACGTTCGATAGTCTCAACATCAATGACTTACAAACAGAACTTCCTACAATCGTCTGCTTTTAACTCTTATTATAACAAAATCTAAACGATAATAAAATATTCACTCACAAAATAAATTAATCAGTAATATATAAACTAAACAATCTTTTACATGATGACATAAACACCTCACCAAGATAAATATTTACAATATTTTTTTTACTATATACAAAGACTGTCCTTAATTTATCCACACACTCTGATCATACGGTCTACACTAGTATTCACAGTTTTTTTGTCTGTCTCTCCTAACATAGGGTCTCCAGTAGGAGGACTTCTTAACAGGATCCCTGCCCGTGGTCCGTATTTCCTAATCTATCTTTGCTGACACAGTTGGTTTTGTTTCTCTTCCCTCTTCATCTTAGTCAGTTTGACACTCATATTGACTTCCTTGTATGTCTTATCTCTACTCGGTGCTCTTAGACTTAGTGGGTCCTTATCTTCTGTAATGAAGTCACTGTCGTCAGGTTCTACTTTCATGACAGCCACACCTACAACATCCATCTCTGTTTCAATTGCTGCGCTCGTTAAGTCTTCTCTCCCAAAATACTTCTTCAACAGTTTGACATACTATATCTTGGTCTTCCCATTCACATTCACCATGTAGTCAATTCTGTTGAGTACTTCCTGTACTTCGAAAGGTCCTTTCCATTGCAGGGTAAGTTTGTTGTGGTCTGTGAGCAGCAGAACTAAGACCTTTTGTCTAACATTGAAACATCAATCCTTGGCCTTCTTGTTGTAAAAATGCTTCTGACTACCTTGAACTGCATACAAACTCTGTTGAGCAAGTTGACAGGTCACCTCCAGTTAGTTTGTAAGGTCTAACACATACAGGTATGTGTTACTTACTTCTGACTCTTATTCTCCTATCCCTAGCTCATTAAATATCAGCATCTCGTACTGTTCTTTCATACAGTAACTCAAAGGGTGAAAATCCTGTATTTGCTTGTAGGACTTCTCGATAAGTGAATAATATTGCCTGCAAGTACCTGTCCCAATCATGTAGTCTCTCTTGGCACATCTTCTTTATCATGCTTTTTAAAACTCCATTGACTCTATCACAAGGTCCATTACATTTAGGATTGTATGGAGTGGTAAAGAGTTGCAGAGTACTGATGAGTTTGGATACTTCCTGTATCAGTTCTGAAGTCAACTGGGTCCCTCTGTCACTCAGGATTTCTCTCTGAAAACCTACTCTGCAAAATATCTCCAGGAGGGCTTCTGCTACTCTATCTTCACCAAAACTATTGCTTCCAGATAACGTGTCACATAGTAGACTGCTGTCAGCACATACCAATTGCCCTTGCCAGACACGGGTCCAATCAAGTCCACATCTACTTTGCTGAATGACTCTTCTCCGGTGACTCCTGATCATTGGAAGCTACTGGTGATTCTGTCTGCCATTTTCTTTGTTCCTAGGTAACCTCCCACAGTTGATTCATGAGCCTACTTCCTCACTTGAGTCTGGTATTCTGTTGGTATAGAACTCCCTTCTGGTTCTCTATTCTATAAGTGTAGTCCCCCTTTTGTTTTGTGCTCGACTTTCTCCCAGGCATTGTCCGAAAGTTTCTGTGCTTCCTTCAGTTCTTACAAACCTAAATTCAGGATGTCACCTTTTGACACTTGCAGAGACTTGATGTCTTGTTTGCTCTTCTTTTCTTAAATTCAGGATGTCACCTTTTGACACTTGCAGGGACTTGATGTCTTGTTTGCTCTTCTTTTCTTAAGCTCTGGTGGTAACAGCAGATGCTTCATCAATCTTTGTTCTGTCTAGTTCCTCTAAATTTCTACTACCTGGTATGTTTCCTGTCACCAAGTCATGTATTTTTTCTTTTATACACATGGCCTCAAGGTCTCCTACATAATATGGAGTATCCAACTTTATTTTTGCTATGGGGAAACTTTCTCACTGTCTCATTACTTAGTACACATGGGCATAACTTTACCCATCATCTGATCATCGGATACTAGATTGGTTCACACTGCTGTACTACTGCTCCCAGTGTCTTGAAGAAACTTCACTTTCTTGTTCCCAACATAGCCTTCACATATTGGCATATTATGATTTGTTGGCAGCTGTTGATATTTATCACGTGCTCCCATCACTATTGCTGCTGTTGATCTGTTTGCTAACTTGAGCCGACCATTAGTCATGCATTGATCAATCCATGTTTTTTTGTATTGAATTTGACAAATAGTCCTGATTCTCTTTCTTCTGGCAGTAACATCCATAGTGACAGTCACTCTTTTTTTGTTTCTTACCAGCACTGTCCTTGTAAATAGCTCCAGCTGCTTTATGTTGAGGTTTCTGCTGTTGTTTGCTAGTAATGCACTTGCACTCTTTTGCAATGTGCCCCATTTTATAAGAAACATAACATCTCTTCTCCATTCTGTATGTTAACCTCCTATCACCATTGGTAGACTTCTGCTCCTGGTCAGCCATCACTGATTTGAATTTTAACTGGATATTCTTGGACTTGCCAGTTATATTACCTCCATGGATTTCCATATACTGTTCTGCCAGCTTGATCATCTCATCTAAAGTTTTTGGTGCTCTCTCATTTAGGAACAGTGTCATGTCTGCTAGTTCCTGAAAACTATTTTTACACTTGGCCATATCAGTCCATGTAGTGAAATATCGCTGCAGACATGCCACAAACTGAAATACAATTTCTCTAGTGTTGTATTTGACTCCTCTGAACTTCTGATGAAAACCTTCTTCAGTGAATTAATGTCATTTCAGTAAAGCCACTTTTAATTTGTCATAATTTATGGCATCTTGTAGGCCATATACTTGTGGGCCTTTTCCTGTGAGAAGTGGGCTGAGACAGACTGCCCAGTTGCCTTTATTCCAGTTCTGACTTTGAGCAAATGTTTCATATCTCTCCAAGAAAGCATCTGTGGCAGCTTGGGTTGGCTGGCCCTGATTCCATTGTCATTCTTGGGTCCTTCTTACTTTGGTTGGGTGAGTTTTTCAATCTCGGTTTGTGCTCTTATTCTTTCTATTTCAAGTCTCTCCACTCTCTCTTTTTCTTCTTTCTCAATTTGTATTTTCATTCTCTCTGTTTCCAGCTTTTCTTTTTTCTCATTTTCTTCTTTCTCTCTTTGTGCTCTTATTCTTTGTATTTTTTATTTTTTCTTCTTCCTCTCTTCTCTGCGTATGCTCTTCTCTCTCTAGTTCTTGTTGTTGTTTAATAAACTCTTATAGTTCACTGTCTTTTAACCCAAGACACTCTCCAATATCTATCAATTTATCAAAATTTGACATGGTTAGTAGCATGATTGTAATCTCTACACTATTTACATTACTACTACAGTTGTGCATATATGAGCCTACTTCTTTCCACTGTTGTTCACATTCTCTTCTATCACTGTTTACCACTGTATAATTCTGGCTGTGGCCATAACTCTCACTCTAATATGTCAACTGTTATGCCAATATTAATTGTTAGGCCTTCCACTCCTATGATGATTAACCTTGCATTTAACTTTTCTTTGACCAAATTCCTTCTCATAACTTTACTTCTTGTCTGCTCTCTCTTTGTCTGTCTTCTTTTCCTACTCATCTCACACTATTTGTATATTTATTACTTTATCTTCTGATCACTATATCCTCAGCATCAATAAATTTCCTGCAACATTCTGTATTATCAACATCAATGAGTTATAAACACAATATACAATTTTTACCAATTTACATAACTAAACTTGTCATAACATTTGCTTTACAATAATTGCTTCTAACTCTCTTGTTATGAACAAAACTAAACAATCATAAAATTATTCTCACAAAATACATTAATCAATAATATCTACATTGAATAGTCTTTTATATCATGAATGTGTTTTTTACTCTTTTTTTGTTATTATTATATTAAAAAAGAGTATGAGATTAGCTAACTTTATAGTTAGATTTAATATTGTTTAATTCCTTATGCAGTAGTGTAACTCAAATTATGAAATATATTTGTTCATTTTGGATAACAAATCTTGTATATTTATCAACTGAATACTACAGTTTCTAGGTGTATCAGTTGTCATGAGCTCTGCAAGTTTGATGATCCAGAATTTTATCTAAAAAAGTTTTATACACCTGAACTCTATCATTTAAAGATTTGCATTAAAACGGTCTACACCAAGTTGTTGCCCACACCTTAAGAAAGCTAATTTAGATAACATTCTCTGTTATTGATCTAGCAGGAATAATGGGAGCTTATGTATATTTAAACTTAATACTGAGTTGATTACTGCATTGGATTTGTTATATAGTGTGAACAAACATGCTTTATTTTTGATGCTACATTGTTGTTTGTGATTTGCTTTAGCCTCCAAAGCTGTTGATTGTCTTTTGGATTCACCATGGTCAACAGGGAAGAACAAGACAGAGATTCTCTTCACTACAAGAGACTGTGTAGCTGATTATATGGATATGTGAGTTATGTGTGTGTGTTTATATACACACATTTATTTGCCGATATAGCATTTATATTTTTAATTAAAACAAACTAATTTTTGCAATTTAGTATGAGTAATGAATGCCATTAAACACAGTAAAAACAAATGTCTCTTTAATACACATTTCTGGGTAAGTCACCATGTTACATTCAAAATGTAATTAAACACCCTTACTATCAATTTATGTAAATTGAATTAAAATTATAATGTATTTTATGATTCAAAGTTTTATGATATCTAAGTTTTAAGTCCTTTATTTCAAAAGAAACCTTTAAAACTCCTTAAAACTTCAGATGTACTGTTATGTGACCAACAAGCTATGAAAATTCTCTACTTTGACACTCTGTATCTTCAATAAAATGATGATAGTTGAGTAAATGTACATCTAAACTTTAAGATGCTTACGTAACCTTTTGACTCATACATTTCAATGTTCTCTGAAGGAATGCAGTTGAAACAGGTAAACATTTTTTCAACCCCTAACAAGTGCCATACCCACCTTCAAAAGATTTGTTTGAGCATTGTAGCCTACATGTAGATGTTACATACACATGTGTATAGTCATTAGAAAGAGCTCATTTTACACTATAATCTAACAATGGTTATTTTGAAATTGGCATGCAGAGTACATGTAACTGACTGTAGTATTGTTGACTGCTTGATCGACTATAGCATTTACGGTTGTTTATTACCTAAATATGTTATAGTTAGTGATACAGTTTAAATTTTGTTTAGGTCTTACTATTACACAATTTTGTTAATTATGTATTAGTTATGTTATTAAATTCATAATTAAAAGGTTTAAACATTTTTTAAATATACATAATACTTTGTGTCAGTTCTCAAGGCTTACAGTATTACACACTGAATAAAAATTTTGCCGAAGCATTGTGCATGTCTGCCAGAGACACTGTAATATTCCTCGAGGGCACCATTGACTTGTGTCAAGACGAAGAATAAATGGTGCAAGAACAAGAAAGGAAAATAAAACATTAAAAAATAATTATGTAAAAAAAGGAAGAGACCTGAAATTACTAATATAACCAAAATAATATCTTTAAAGATATTTTTCAAAAAATTAAAATGAATGTACATTTGTTCTTTTTCCTAATTTTAGTCATTTCATTGCATTGTGCATTAATGATAATGGTTTTTAATATGGTAGAGAAAATTAAAAATATAATATAAAGATTTACCTTAAAAAATTTGATATCCTTTTAGGAGGTTCTAGAAATTATGTAAGTAAACTATGAAAACTATAACATAAAGAAAAGTATTTTTATACTTAAAATGAAAATCACATTACACTCGAACTATTCACAGTTTGAGTGCAAATAACTACAATAGATAAATAATATTTTTGTTAGAAAGATGTAATTATAATAGTCATTTTTTGCATACAAAATACTTATAAACTTCAACAAAATCTTATGAGGTTTTGTGAGGAATGCTCAGAGTTTAAGAATTTATCTTTAAGGTTTCTTTTGAAATAAAGAGATGGGAAAAATTTAAGTTCATGTATCAATGTAAATTATTTCATGGACTTTAGAAAGGTTAATTGTGTTGCACTCTTGGTTTCACTTAGAGCCAAAGTTCTGAGTTACTTATACTGCTCACCGTGAAAGGTAATTGTTGACCATTTCAGTTATGCTAAGAACCTGTCAATAATAACATATGGTAAATGTACATTTTTATTATTTAAGTTACGTCACATTAATTCGTAACAATTAGTGCAGAATATCCTGTTGCAAAATAAAATTTGGCATAAACATTATTCATGCCTGTCCTCCCATCATTTCAAAAGTGATTGTTGAGCTATGCCTGCAAGCACAGCTCTTCAAATACAGCGCAGGAAGCGGCTGGCGTAGACAGGAGGCAGATGAACACTTGGACAGACACCATGGTTCGCAATGTGTGTGTGTGTGTGTGTGTGTTTATATCTATGTGTGTGTATGTTAAGGTATGTATAGGAATTCTTTTGTAATTTTATGTAAATAGTTTAAGTTGAAAACCTTTAACATATCTTCTCTCAATTTAAAATTCTATTTCAATCTTTCAATATTTACAAGTGTGTGTATTTAAACATAATAATTTAAAAAAGGTATGCTTATTTTACTGCGTTTCAATCATAACATACAAGGCCTAGCATGGCCAGGTGGTTAGGACACTTGACTCGCCATCCGAGGGTTGTGGGTTCGAATCCCCATCTCACCAAATGCTCACCCTCTCAGCTGTGGGGGCATTATAATGTGATGGTCAATTCCACTATTCATTGGTAAAAGAGTAGCCCAAGAGTTGGTGGTGGGTGGTGATGACTAGCTGCCTTACTCTAGTGTTTCACTGCTAAATTAGGGATGGTAAGCGCAGATAGCTCTGGTGTAGCTTTGTGCGAACTTCAAAAACAAAACAGAACATACAAAACATATCTATAATGAAATATCGCCATAATGTATGCTTATTTATCAAAAAATATGTTGTCCAGCAAATGTTGACATTACCTGTTGCATTATGAACATACTGATCTAACTTGTGTCTTGTACAATTTAATAACACTGTATGTTAAACTCCAAATGCAAGTGTAATGTTGAAATGTCATTATCAGAGTGAATATGTTTGATAGCAACTGTTATTTATTTTTACTGGTATGTTATTGCTGTTTCAAGTATTTTTTTATTTAAGTTTGATTTTTAAGCCACATTTTTAATAACATTTGATTAATTTTTCTTCTCCATGAAAATTATTCAGTTGTTCTTACCTTCTTAAAGAAACAATAAGGTTATCTTTGTCTATATTATTGTATTGAAAGTATTTGGGAGTTCTGCAGCATTGAAATTTTAATGCTAGGTAATAGAACTAATGTACATGGACTGTTTCAACCTCTGAGAATTGTTGTCCTGATGAGACACTTGTTTAGAAATATTACAGTTATTAAGATCCTATTTCAAAGTATCAGACTAAATGATACTGGTGTTTTAGTATCAAACTAAATTGTAACCTATTTTAAGGTGTAAAACTAATGAGAACTCGTTTCAAAGAATAGTTATTTAAGTACCTGGTTCTAAGTTTGAGAACCAGTTTCTCAATGTCAAAAGTAATAAAATAACTTTTCAAAATGTTTGTTTCAGTGTATCAAACAAAAATGAGAACCTGTTTTCAAGTTTTGAATTATTTATTTTTATAACATATGCACAACTATAAAATGAAGTTAATTTTATTGTATACAGGTAATAGGATGTCCTAAGTAGTTAAGAATACTAAGTTAATTAAGATGGTCTTTTTTGTTCAATAGACTATGGTGCTCTTTGTTAAAAATCATCAAACAACATGACATTCAGAATTATTACTATGTTCAAATATTATGTTTCCATTAACTTAGTTGTTTGTTCCATAAAATCTGTCTAGTTCATTAATTTTGATTTTGTATTAAAGGATGCTAAGGCACAAATTTTTCCATCGTGCTCGGAAGATTATTATCCAGAAAGAACCAAAGAAAAAAAACAAAGAGAAAGAAGAAGAAAATACTGCCGATGAAGTTAAAGAGAAAGAAAAGATGAAAGAAAAACATAAAGAAAAAGATACTAAAAGCGAAAAAGAAGACAAAGAACTAGAAGGAAAAAAGGTATGAAAATTATGTTATGTAAAAACAAATGTTAGTAATCATACAAAAATGTAAAATGCTACAAAGCTGTACAGAAGTCTACATGGTGTTTGATAAGTAAAATGGAGTTTTTAATATAAAAACATTTTATCTTTTTAACGATGACAGATCTGTTATTTGAATTTTTTCTTATTATTTTCACACACACACACATTGAAACTGTGAGACCAAACTGTTATGAAACAAAAATTGAAGGGAAACTGTAAAGCAGCCATGGGGTTTAGGAGATTTAACTTGAACAAAACTAAAAGATGAAAGCCTGAATTTGGCTAAACTAGAGTAGTACGTGTGAGAGAAGGCTTGATTAAGAGGAAACCAACATTGTATAACTACTACTTCTACAGTTATTATAGTCTTTAAACTTAGAAAAAAAAAACTTGTTATTTATTTCTTGAAGGAGAGGTCATATTGACTATTGAAACAATGATTAAAACCTTATTCTTGTTATTTGTTTTAAGTTTTGTTATAATTATACTGTGTACCTAATCTTCTAGTTTTCACTATAAGGTTCGCATGCTTCTATTCTAATAGCAGGAACTTGTACAGTAAAAGTGTGAAAATAGAATTAGAGCTCTTACTTTAGTATTATATTGACTCAAACTGGAAAGTTTATCTGAACTCGTCACTTAACATTAAGAGTGACATTTGAATTGATAAAGAATATTTGATGTTTACAGTGGTAAAATTCTATCTAAGTATGAAATAATTTTCATTCTGTTTTCAAAGTGCATCTTAACTCAATGTAAGGATAAATCTTATGAAAAAAGTTTGTACTATAGATTGTTTTTACACAAAAGGCTTATTTACTAATGTATTATTAGTTTTTTAGCAGTTTAATGTAACTTGTTGTAAAAGAATCTCACAATACAATTTATATATCGTACTTTAACTTAGGAAGGGGAAGAAGGAGAAAAGAAAAAGAAAAAAATCAAGCTAGATATGCACTTGGAGCAAGTGTTTCTTGATGGAAATGAGGTATGTTAAATGGTGGCAGTAATTTTGTGTCTTAAACCACGTTTGTGATATATATAAATATGAAAAGAGAGAAGGTAATAGTTCATGTTATGTAACATAGTTTGATTAATGTACGTGACATGTTTTATGCATGATCTTGATCAAATTCCTGTATGTTATTGCTAATTTTATAGTTTAAAATACCTATTTTGGATAACTGTTTCCATTGATATATCAATGTAGTTTGCCTAGTTCTGTTTCTTCTTTATGATGTCCTGAAGATTGTACACTTTTTGTATACTTTGTTAGACGAGCTAGTCACTTAAAAATAAACATTTAAATTCAAGCATGAGCCTAGAACACAACTTTGTTAAATAATGCTTAAGACATTATAAATAAGGCTTGGGTTATGAAATGAAAAAAAAAGTGACTTTTTTTGTCAGTAAAATTCCTGTGTGGGTAAAAAAAAGCAGGAGTGTAAAACGTTGGTATGTGTTACTATTTTTGAGAGCTTATTAATGGTACTAATAGGTTTTTTCAAGGTTTGGGATGTTCTTAAGATTTTTTATGAACTATTTTGAATTGTAGTATATACTTAATAGTTAGTTTCATAGACTGTTTTTGATTGTAGTATGTAATAATTATTAGTTTCATAGACACAAATTATAGAATATTTTGGATTGTAGTACAGCCAGTCCTCATTATTCATCACCCCTTTGTTTGTTGTTTAATCATTTTGTCATTTGAAATAGATTAATTCTGTTGTCACACGATCTGTCAATTAGACCAATCTTGTAACCACTTTGCACTCACTATAGTTTCCATATTACGACTTTTGATACAATATATATATTCACAAAATGTGACAGACTTTTAGTAAACATTATAAGTTTTTAACACAAAAATTCAAAACACTGAAGGGCTACAGCAAGGTAAACCTGCCTGTAATATTGCGTTACTCGGGATATTTTTAAAGAGCGTTTGTTTGTGATTTTTGCTCAGTTGTTAAGTGGTATTGTGAGAGTCATGACCTTCTTAAAAAAAAGCACCTAGTCATCCAATCAACCTTGATTCCATAGCAATAGAAATTAAACTTCAAGTTGTGTTTCATCCACCCCACACGGCATTCATATTGCAGCCCATTGATCAGGGGGTGATTGCTGTCTTCAAGGCATACTACCTGCGACGTACATTTCCACAGCTCTTCAAGGAGACAGATGATGACGGTGGCACATCCATCAGGGAATTTTGGCACAATTATAACATCATGAAGGCAGTGAAAAACATCGCATAGTCATGGAGAGAAGTGACTGTCAAGTGCATTATTAGCGTGTGTAAAAAGCTGTGGCCTGACTGTGTAAATGACTTCATTGGTTTTGAACTTGATATGCCTCAAATTCACAACAACATTGTACAGCTTGCACAACAGGCTGGTTTCAATGAAGTTAATGAGGAAGATGTGGAGGAGTTATAAATTATCATAGGAAGAGTTTAACAAATGAAAACTTCATAGAGCTGGACCAACAAGCAAAAGTTGTGGCTACAAGTGGTGCTATTGAAGAAGCTCCATTACAGAGAGTTCTTGTATGCAAATTGCTGTCGTGAATAAGGTCAATGAGGCAGTGGAACTTGCTTCTGAAAATGACCCTGACATGAGTGCACCAGTGTAGTGGCAAAGAATACGCAGGATTCAATTTTTTGTTACTAAGAAATTTATGAAGAAAGAAGAAAGAAAACAATACAACTTACCATCACTTCTACACCTGCACTTGAATAGGAGGAGGCAGATGATCCCCTCCCTACCTGCTCTTCTCACCAGTAATTACCCACCTCTCCCACACGGAGTCAACTTTGAGACCATCACTGGTGAGTTTATTAGTAAAGTATTTTTTCAGGTGATACTGTACATTAATGCATCTTGTAAGATATTATTGTAAAAATAATGAGTTATGTCATATATCTACCACGTGTTACATGAAAGTCAATGGGCTAGTGGGCTTGTTCGTTGTGGCCCTTAGGAATGCATCCATGATGGATTATGAGGACTGGCTGTACTTAGCAATTGTTAGTTTCAAAGATATAAATCATAGACTGTTTTGGATTGTAGCATTTAATAATTGCTAGTTTCATAGACACAAATCATAGACTGTTTTGGATTGTAGCATTTAATAATTGTTAGTTTCATTGACCCAAATCATAGACTATTTTGGATTGTAGCATTTAATAAGTATTAGTTTCATAGACACAAATCATAGACTATTCTGGATTGTAGCATTTAATAATTGTTAGTTTCATAGACACAAATCATAAAATATTTTGGATTGTAGCATTTAATAATTGCTAGTTTCATAGACACAAATCATAGACTATTTTGGATTGTAGCATTTAATAATTACTAGTTTCATAGACACAAATCATAGACTATTTTGAATTGTAGCATTTAATAATTGTTAGTTTCAAAGATACTGTATTTCTCAGAGGGAAGGTAAATAAATTGAGAAGAAGAGATACCGAGAGAGTAAATGTCACAATTCTTATATTGGGGGGGAAATTGAGGATTTTTAAAAATATGTCCCTACAAGATTAAATACTTAACTTATATAATATTAAAATTTGATTTATTAACTACATTTTGATTCCAAGTTTATTTGTATACCATAACAATAAAGTAGCTTAATTAAATTTTAAATGTAACTCTCTAAAAAGGCACTTTGACCTGCCAATAGTGAGAGGATTAATTACATGTCATCAAACACGTGAAAGATTGCAGGTATATAATGTACATGTATACTTAGTTGTCTTTGGTGGATTTATTTTATTGACCTTTATAATTGGATTAGACTTTGTTATTGGGGTTGAATAAATAACATACTGAGGCAAACATTTTGAAAATTACCAAAATTTTTATATTGTAGCTGCTTTTCTCCCTAGGCCTATGTGTGGATCTATGATCCAATACCACTGAAGGTGTGGATAGCAGGAACTTTTCTTGGTATGTTATTTATATTTTTAGAATTTTTATTAGTAATATATACCCTTCTTGTTTATACACTTACCTTTATAGCTACCCACATCCCTATCTGTCAGCCTGTTTGGCTGTCCTCTTAGCTAGTCATATCATTGTCTGTCTGTCATCCTACTAGCTACCCATATCCCCATTTGTTTGTCTTTATATTGCTGTCTTTTTAGCTTTCTTTCTGTCTGTTTATATATCTTCTTACCTACCCATGCTCCTATCTATCTGTCTATTTATTTATCTTACCTACCCATGTTTCTATCTATCTGTCTATCTATTTATCTTCTTCCTAGCTAACTACATCCCTATCTGTCCATCTTGGTTTAGCTATCTACATATTATTTTTGATTATCTACAGTATATACTGATATTTTAAAGGTAAAATAAATCATTTTGGGCAACTGCTAGTTTGTTCAAGGTCATACATCATGACAATCTGTTTTTTAAGTGCTTATATGCTACTATTATACAAATTTCTAGGTCTCACTGATGTATCCAAAATGTTTTTCTTAAACAGTTTTATTAGTGTTAATATATCGTGCTCTTAAATTGTACTAGTTTCAGTCTGGGCATCACATAACATATTTCTGGATGTTTGATTATGCATTTTGCTAATATTGTAGGAAATGTATGTTTATTGAGTCCATGTGAGTTGCTGCAGCTTTTATGCTTTAAGTAGAATCAATTCTGTCTGAAATTCAAATTGAAAATGTCATTATGTTCATTTTGGTTATAGTGGTCTATCTAGGTTGCATATTAATGTTGGATCTTCAGTCAGAAATGGGATATATATTTTTTCTTAACATTTTTATATGTGCTCGGTGATGCTGAGCTGTTGAAATTAGTATGTCTAAATGATGAACACTTTGGTTTATTTAATAATTTACTATGAACTTGCATTACTTGAGTGACAAGGTCAGGTCAAAGTAGCATTAAAATTAATCAAAAATTCAGATGATTAACACATTATCATAAATATCGTACAAGGAAACACATGCATGGTTTGGCTTCATAAGTAACAGAAGCAGTCCATTAACTCTTTCTGAACAGGGTGGGTTAATGCGACTGATTTTATAACCACAAGGTAACCATCATAGTTTACATGTTATAGCTTTTAGTATGTTTTGTGTATCTTCATGAAATTTGGCAAGCTTTGAGTGAACATTACAAGTCCTTTGCACACCAAAAAAATCTCTTTTTTAATTAAGTAGTTTTACTAAAGATTTGTCTATGAACATATGGAGTTAGAAAAGAATGTTGACTGCTGTATGGAGTTAGAATAGAATGTTGACTGCTGTGAGTACAAAGTTATCATCATGTTAAGATTCAAAATACATTTCATTATCTGCAAAGTTTCAAATTTCATTTACTTAACCTTTATAACATCATAAATAAATATCAAACATATTTTCTTTGGTAAAACTTCATATTTTTTTCTGTTATTTTCTCTACCCTAACTTTATATGGACATGCTTGATTTGACCAACCTTGTATCTACCATAAAAAAAAAGGAAATAAATCTAAATTACCTTTTTTTCTTTAGAATGACGGCAGATTTTAACAGAAAACTGTAATTATTTATACTAAATAGCTTAAGGCTTATAACAGTTTACAACTGTTTATACTTAAGTTTTTTTGCTTTATTATCCTTTGAACCATGTTTAATAAATAATCCTACTACACAAGTTGTAAATCACTTGGTGAATGAGTAGCTCACATTGACATATTGAATGACATTATTTACAAGCTGTTCATGACCATACCCATGAAGTTTTATTATTATTTTTCATTATCTTACATTGTTGCATATATGTCATTCAATAGATCAAAACTGCCTTTCTCTTGGTTATAAATGATATGGTATAAAACATCAGAGAGAATTGTACTTCAAAGAGAGGTGGTAAAGAAATTAGAGAAGGAGGAAGATTTAGAGGACGAATGTCACAATTCTTGTATTAGGGGAGATTGAGGACTTTTTAATATTTCCATATAAAATTAATTGCTAAACTTGTATATTATTAATATTTGATTTATTAACTACATTTTGATGCCAAGTCTATTTCTATACATTGATAATAAAGTAGTTTAAGTTTTGAAAGTAACTTGTAAAAGGTTGTGACATGTGCACTTTGACCTACCAATTGCAAGAGAGTTAAAGCCAAAAATATCGTACCGTATAGTTTGTACACAGCAATGACATCAAGGGAGAACAGATCCTTATATGTACTGTTGGAAACTCACCCCAAAGTTTACCAACCTAAGGGCCAAATGCAGTGTATCATAAATCTTAATATGCTTACAACCAGATGTCCATTGTGTTAGATATGTTTTAGTGTCTTACATTCAAAATTTTATTAAACTACTTTTTTGTTTATGTTATTCCAATTAATATATCATAAACTCTTGGCTAATAATCCATATTTTAATAGTATATAAGTTTTAAGTTCTTCATTTCACAAGGCAATATTATCAAAATCCTGAATTTCCCTTAGTGTGACACACGTGACACATTTTCTCTAGTCATCTACTCTTCTCTATTTTATCCACCACTCCTCCAAAAAGTACGAAATTAAATGTAAATTACTCACTATAAAATTGTCATTGCTCATATAAACCATAATTTTTATAGCCTTCAATTTTGTTTGGTTACAGATCTGTCAAGTAGAAAATCAGATCTCCTCCTGCCACACCCACCTGTCACATCCTCTCTTTCAGGATTTGTTAATAGTTCTCTCTT